AGGCTGGCTCCCGGGACTGCACGCGGGCGGCCGGGGAGCTCCGCGTCCCGGGCTGGCCCGCGCGGGCGATGGCCGCAGGGGGAGCGGACCCAGCGTCCGCCTGCCCCGCCCCTGTCGTCGCGGCCGTCAGTCATTTTGGGGCGACCCCGGACCGCGTCTGTGAGGTCGCCCTCATTTGACAGGCGGGGAAACTGAGGCCCGGAGGGGATAGGGGGCCTCGCTCAAGGTCACGCAGCTCTTTGGCGGCTGTGCCGGACAGAGATCGGGTCTCCCATCGGGTGGCCTTCCTCCCGAAAAGGAGGACTAGAGGGACAGCGGATGGACAGGTGGATGGGCGGAGCCCTTGCTGCGGGGCCGCAGGCTCCAGACCCTGGGTCTTAATCCCTCCCTGCTTCTCAGGTCTGCTACCGCTGCCACTGCCCCCACTGCCGTCCCGGCTGGGGATGGTGGCCCCCCTGCACCCCCTCCAAACCTCACCAGTAACAGGAGACTGCAGCAGACCCAAGCCCAGGTGGATGAGGTGAGTGTGGGGGGTGTCAAAGGCAATGGGAAGGACCCTGGGGGTTGGCAAACAAGGGTAGGGGCCCATCTTGGATTGGGGGTGATGACAGTTCACGTCTGTGGGTTTTGGGAGAAAGACATACCATGCCCCAGCCCTGTCTCCCTGCCAGCACGTACTTGGAAGGGCCCTGGGGTGTTAATCTGCCTTGCTAGCCTGGGTGTACCAGTGTGGGCAGGTGTGCTCTGGTGATGGACAGGCTACCTGAGGTTCCATAGACAGAGGGTGTTGCTATGACATCTGAGATTTCTGGCTACCAGCATGCCCCTGATGTGTGCTCCTTGCATGTCCCCAGGTGTGCTAGGCATGTTCTATGTGTGTCCTTGGCATGTTAGCCTGGCAGCATCGGGGTGCATGTTCCGTGTGTGGCACAATGGGCACATATTCGAGGAGTGCGCTCATTGAGGTGGGCCTTGGCACACCCCCTGCCTCGTCGGCCCCTCCCCCAGGTGGTGGACATCATGAGGGTGAACGTGGACAAGGTCCTGGAGCGGGACCAGAAACTATCGGAGCTGGATGACCGCGCGGATGCACTCCAGGCGGGGGCCTCCCAGTTTGAAACAAGTGCAGCCAAGCTCAAGCGCAAATACTGGTGGAAAAACCTCAAGGTAAGGGTAGGGGCAGGCGGGAGAGCAGGCAGGAGGTCTGGTGGGTTAATGGGGGTATGACGGTTTGTCTCACTGACCTTCCCTTGTCACCCCCAGATGATGATCATCTTGGGAGTGATTTGCGCCATCGTCCTTATCATCATCATCGGTGAGTGGGCTGGGTGTGGCCGGGGCCCCTTCTCCGGAGAGCTTTCCCCTGTGAAATTTGGGTTTTGAAGGTTATAAACCTAGATTGTACTCTTCAGCAAAAAACACATACAACTAAACTGCTAATGGCAGTTTGGATTCATCTAGAGCTGAAAACCTTGATGTTGTTTAGCTTGCACTTTGCTTGGTTCTGGGCAATTTCTATTAAGATCTTGAAAAAAAAGAAAGCTGGTAGATCCATTGAGGACCCTTTGGGACTAAGATCCCAGTCTGGGAACCCTGGAATTGGGGAGTGGGAGACAGGAAATTCGCAGGGGCTGGAGACATGACCAGAAAGCATCCCACTGTTTGAGAGCCCGTGGTCTCAGAGGCCCAGAGGATTGGGAGTCTGTGTCCCCAAGGCCCTACTGTGGAGTTGAAGGGACTTCGGAACTCACCTGTCCAGCCCCCTACTTTACAGATGGACAAACTGAGGTTTAGAGAGGGGAGGGGAGGTCAGCCAGTTTGGGAGTGGGGAGGATTGGAACAGGGCCGGGCCTGACATAGTACTTTCTTTCTCTTTCTCTCTCTTTCTCTCTCCCTCTCCCCCCTCCCTCTCGCCCTCCCCTTTCCCTCTTCCTCCTTCTCTTTCCCTCTCTCCACAGTTTACTTCAGCACTTAAATCCCCGAGGAGTCTGCCCTGCCTAGAGAAGGGCCTCTCCCCCACCCCCAGCCGTTCCTCCACCTCTCAGCCATATCTTTCAGCCCCTCCCCCCTGGATCCGTATGTGTGTGTGTGTCCCTGTGTGTGTGCCCCTTTGTAAATAGCCAGCTGTTATTTATACATATATAATATTATATATATTTGGTCTGTTTGTAGTTTTATTACTAGGAGATTTTTCCGGTTGTCCTTAACATCCCTTCCTGAGGTTCCCATCACCTCCTCTCTTTCCCTCCTTCCCTTTCCCTGTCTTCCCAACCAGTCCCAAGTCCCTTCATTTGCATCTGCTATGCAATAGTCCCTCTCCTCTCCTCCTCCTCCTTCCCTTGGATTTAGCCGATCCTCCCTCCCATCCTGGCCTTCCTCTCCCCACCCTCCATAAGCTCCACTCTCCCCTACCCCCACCACCCCAAAAAACGAAAAGCGCCTGTCCAGGCCTCCTTAGGTGCATCTTCTTTGCATCCATTGGGAGTCTCTGAGACTGGCCTCACTTCGTCCTAAGAATCCCAAGGTCTTCTGGGAGCTTCCAGCATGCTAATTAGCATATCATTTGCATATCAGCATCCCTTTTGGTTTCCTTCTTTTTTCCCCATCACTCTTCTCTCAACCTGTGTTTCTTTTTTACTGAGGAGTTAGTTCCCATTGGTCCTTGTATCACACTTTCATTTGCACGACATTACTTGCAGGTGGTGGGGAGACTGGGCTCTTGGGGAATCAGGCTGCTCTGACCCCCAGAATTGCCCCCTCCTAGCCCCTCTAGTCCAGTTTGCCTCCCATGTCTCCATTTTCCAAACCCCTTGTACCTTCCTTTCCCTCCCCTCAGCTGGTGTGTAAGTGTCTTGGAGTTAAGTGTGTTTTGATGGACCAATAATTCTTCCACTCGGGTCTCTCCCCACATTCCCGCTCCCCAGTTTTCATGTGGGGCACTCAACTGACATTTCCATGGGATCTCCCTCCCTCCCATCTGCCTGATCTGCTGCCTCCTCCCACGAGGAGAGTTGGGGGTTGGCCACAATCTGATCTCTTTTGGGAGGGGTGGCTGCCAGTGTGAGGGGGGTCATCACTGCCTTGGGGAGGAGTGGGGCAAAGCAGAGAATCCCCCCAATTCCTGCCTGAAATCTCTGGCCTCACACCCACTAAGGGTTGGACTGAAAACCCTCTTCCCCTATTTGGGGGGTGTTGCCCCCATCACTGCCCAGCTCCTCTGACTGCTCCCCCCTGAATTCAGGGTGGGGGTACTAGTCACTGCCAATGTGTGTGTGGGACTTGCTGGGAGACGGGGGTCCTTGGCCCTCTCCAGGGCTGTTGAGCCCAAAGAGAGAGCTGTCCCCTCATTGGGTGAAGTGATAGAGGAAGGGTCTAATATCTTTTTAAATGGCACAATTTTAAGGGTCTGAGGGTGCAGTCCCTTAACCTGCCACTGGAGGGGGGCCCCTCAAACTCTTTCTTCCCCCCACACTTGAGGTGTTCTGTGTGGAGGGGGAGCAGGGAGATCTAAACTGTGGTGTGAAAGGGTAGGAGAGATGCTGGGGGTGGGGGTGCTGTGTTTTAGACCCCCTATATTATCCCAGTGTCCCCTGCCCCCCTTCTTCCCCCACCCCATGCCCCCGATTCTGTGGCGCATCCAGATTGTGAAAATGTACAATAAATGTGTAATGAGTAACCAGGTGGTGTCTGTTCTAAGATCTTTTCTTAACCAGTGGGAAGGGTATTGGATCTGCAGGTATAATGGGAAGTTGAGAAGATGCATTGGGAAGGGATTGGCTTTGAGGTAGGCCCTTGACCTTGGGCAGTACAAAGTGTGATTCCCAAAGTGGCCACGAGGGGCACCAGGAGTTGGTAATGGAAAGTGTTATCACCGGCCCTTGTGTTTCTAAGCCTGGTGAACCCTGCGTCTTGGATTTCCAGCTTCTGGCCCTCTCCCTTGCCCTGGGCGAGCTCCTGCTGTTGAACTCCTTTCAACTCCTCGATTTAACTCCTCTGTACTCTGCAGTCACTCTGATGGTCTTTCACTTCTAGACCTGAAGTAGATGGCCACTTGTGTGAAGTATACCTTCCCCTTTTTGTCTAGCACAGTGCCAACCTCTGGAAGGAGTTAATAAGTACCTGTTGAAATAATCGGCTCAGGAAGACCCCAGCTGAGTGTGACATGGCGCTGGTTGTAGATGGCCTAGTACCCCTACACTCTGTGTTGTTATGACTTAACGACTGTAGACCCCACACTGAACTCCTCCTTCAGCCTCCATGTCTGTGATGTCGCTGATGTGGCAGCTCAGCATCCCTGTCCCCAGAAGCTTCAACAATGAGTGGAGGGTACTAGGTGAGCTTTGGAGGGCTGGCTTCTCTAGGCTGCAGCACGAAGATCCAGCGGTGTAGGAAACCTAGACAGTGTTACACAAACTGTCGGCTCCTAAGAACTACCAGGGGTGCTTTTAAAAGTAGATTTTCAGGTTGTAACACCAAGGTCAAGGGTTCCGATTCTCACACCGACCAGCCGCCAAAATAACATTAAAAGAATCTCAGGGCGGGCTGGTTAGCTCGGTTAGAGTGCGGTGTTGTAACATCAAGGTCAAGGGTTCAGATCCCCATATTGACCATAACCCAGAAGGAAAAATCGGTTTTCAGGCCTTTTCCCTGGAGATTCTGATCCAGCGGTTCTAAGGGCCCAGGTGAGTCTTACAATTAGGTACACAGTTATTACCATAAGGTCTACCTTTACCGAGGGCTTACTATATGCCAGACAGCGCTCCGGCTTTTGCGCTTTAACTTATGAATCCCTTGCAGGTTTAGGGGTCTCATAGGCCCCAGGACCCGCCTTTATGGTGTCAGGGACCTGGGCTCAAGTTTTAGCCCCATTACTGACTCGCGGGCCGGTTCGGATAGATTAACCTCTCTGGATCTCAGTCTCATTTGTGAGGCGGTGGGTAGTAAGTGAGCCGGCCTCCTCGGAGTTTCTGTGGCCCGGCCCGGCCCACAGAAAACTATCAGCAGTTGGCTGTCATCTTCATCCTCATCATCATAATTCAGCGCTGAGACGTGAAGACCGCTTCCCCCTAATGCTCGCACCTTCCAGCTTCAGGGACCCTCAGCGCCAGGAGCGCTCTTGTCACTCCGGGGTCTCTGCACACGGTGCTCCACCCCCCCGCCACCGCCGCTCCCACCTGCGCCTGCGTGCAGCTCTCGCTCGCTGCGCCTGCGCAGACTCCGCAGGCCCCGGTTACAGTGTCGTCAAGGAAAATCCCCAGATTCTGGGTAAACAAGTTGCCGCGTGAGGCCGCCGGCACGTGTCCCCTACATCTCCGAGACCTCTCAGCCTATGAGAAAGTTGGGAGGGGCATGACTAGCATTTGCGTCACCGATCTAGACAGGTCGGGGCTGTTCTCACAGCCAATAAGAACTTTGGAAGTGTATGAGGGCGAGGCTTCCGGTCAGGCTTCCAATCAACGCGCCGGGACGGCCCCTCCCGCACGTGGACCTGTCGCTGCCCGTTGGCTTACTGACCAATTAGAGGATGACGGAGGCCGGAGGCGCCAATGGAAGCCTTGCGGGGGCCGGGCGGCTGCACGCGGCGCGGGGCATGGGTCGGCGCCCCTAAGCCAATAAGCTTAGGGGGCGTGGCAGCACGGCCAGTGGGCGGGCCTGCAGGGTCCTGCGGAGCGGCTGTGGTCCCAATTGAAGAAATTCGGACTCTGCGTGCGCGCCGAGCGGTGAGTACACGGGGGTGGGAGGAGAGATGAAAGGCGGTTGATGCGAGTTTTTCCGGGGTGCTGTGTCTGGTTAGGAGGAGTGTTGGTGGAGTGGGGTGGGGGGATCATGTGAATGCGTAATCGCTGTGATGGGAGCTCTGATGGTCGGGGACAATAGGGACCGCGAACTCAGCTCTAGAGGGACAGGGGTGGGAGTTACTGACATGAGATCCTTCGTCGCCTTAGGGTGCCTGGATCCCGGACTACCGGGGGGAGGAGTTGGAAGCTCTCAACGACCTGAAGGGGCTGAATCCCCCTGCTTCCAGGGAGGATGGGGGCGGGACCTCTGAGAGTTGGTGGGGGATAGTTAAGTTCAAGACTGCTGCTTGAGTAGACCCCCTTAAGCATTTGAAAGAGGCAAAGGTTCTGAGGCTTGAGGGAGGCCCTGGTAGGCAGGTCGGAGAGTACTAGAGGGTTGGCATGGTGCTTTGAGAAAGGACGGTGTGATGATTGTGTGACCCAGAGCCAGTCGCATCACCCCTCTTGGTGTCTTTCTCATGTGTGAAAGGGAGGGTTTGGGCCTCGGAACCATCCTTGAGGACAGACGTGGGGTAGCAACTGCTGGGTCCTGAAAGGGTGGATAGGGTTGGGGGTTGTGCAGACTGGCTGTGCACACGTTTTCCTGAGCCCCTGGAGGTGGGGAGGCACCAACAGGGTGTTCTGATATCTGTCCGTACAAACAAGTAGATCTATGGAAAAGTGGCCTGGGGTAAGGTGGAAGAGTGAGGAAGTGGGGATCCTAGGAAGTCACTGGGGCTGGTGGCTGCTAGGGTGACCTCAAGGACATCGTGGGAAAACGGACTATGACAATAAGTGTGTGGGGAGTACAATGTCTTGAGATGGGGCCCGAGGGAGAGAAGAGGTTGGAGGGAGTCTATGTTCCAGGCACCAAACTTAGAATCAGGTGGATATTTTAGAGGCCCAGGTTTGCCAGTGCTGAGATGCAGCTTAGAGGTTAGGTAATACCTAGAAGGTTCCTGAAAGGTAAGAAGCCAGAATGACAAGTCTTTAGAAGAGCTCAGATTCGAACCCTGGGCTCCATTTGTTAGGAGCCGGAGAACATGTTATGAGTCAGACAGTTTAGACAAGTTTAGTAACTTCTGAGCTTTACTTGTCCCCCATGGAATGGGGATAGTAATACACATCTCACAGGGTAGTTCTGGGGATTAATTAAGATAATGTATGTAAAATTTAGCACAATGCCTGGGTCCATGTTTTTTTACAAAGTGTAGCTTTAAAAAATGGCTGTGGGGCGACAAAACAACAATGACAGGGTGAGAGATTTATGCGAATGCTGTGGCTGGTAACCTCACATTCTTAAGTTTTTCTGCTAGTTTTGACGACTCCCCATTTCCCTCTTCCTGGTTCTTCTCGTCTTCAGGCACTAGCTCAAATTCCCTCATTCTTTCCTTCTATTCCTCTCCTAGGATCCAGTCCCCAGATTGGGCCACTTGCTCTGTCCCAGTTTGATTTCCTCATCCTAGATCCATTCTCCTCCTTGCCCCTCCTCCCTGTCTCTCTGCTGCCATAGTAACAAGAGAGTCAGGCTCGGAAGGGGGCCTCTGGGAGAGAGCAAAGGTGCGTGTTCCCTCGCAGAACCTGTGACTTCAACTTCCCCGCCCCGGCTCTTTGGTACTGGGCCAGCAGATGTGTACAGTTTGGGAGAGGGAGAAGGCCAGTGCCAGAAGCTGTAGGAACAAGCCCACGGGCGGGCAGATGCCAGTCCTGAAAAGAGAGCTAGGCGGGGGAGGGGGACCCCTTCCTCCTAATCCTCTCTCCAGGAATCACTGGCTTTGGGACAAGACGGCTGTCGTTGGGTTAGGGTAGGCGCTCAGGCTGGGTGCATGTCCTAGGCCACCAGCCAAGAGAACACGATGTTCCCGAGCGTGGCCGCCGCCCTCTCGGGCTGGCCGCCTCCCAAACCTCTGCCTCCTCCAGCCTCTGCAGCCTCCCTGCCCCACATTCCCCGGCTGCCTTGCCCCGCCTCCTTCTTCCGCTTTGACGTCACCGCTGTCTCCCGCCCCCTCTCCTCCTTTGACGGCAGCAGAGCCTGGTTACTGTGGGGACAGGAAGGCAGGACAGCCAGGGCCTTGGGAGCAGGTGGGGGCTGCTGGAGCGCTGGACCCTTTTGACTGGCAAAAGACAGATATGGAGGTGGAGGTGGAAGAGCTAGAACTGCCTGGGTTAAGGGAGATGACACTTGAATCCCTGAGAAGAGCTGGGAGGGAGCCGTTTCCAGAGAAGAGATGTCTGAAAATGAGACAAGGAGCACAGAGCCACAGTAGATGAGTTACGGGGACGGGGGGAATCATTTTCAAGGAGAGGAGACTGAGAATCTAGGTTCCTGAATCCTTTGTTTTCTGTGTTTTCCTGCTTCGGGTTTTCTGGGTTATTTTTTTAACACCCCTGTGTCCCCAGCTTTTCCACAGAACCCTCCCTGCCCCTCCACCCCCTACCCTGGGGAACATCATTCTTAAGGAAAGTTTAGGCCACGTGACAGTGAGGGGAGGGCACCCACAGCTGATTATGACAGCAACTGTTTGGGGGCCTATTCTCTTGCTACCCACGTTTCCAGGAAGCCCTGAGAAGAATTACTCATTACAGTTTTGGATGGAAGAGTCTGTGTAACTGCAGCTCTCCTGGATCCAGACTGGCACTTTATTTCCCCAAATCAAGCCCCTGTTCTCTTTCTATAACACTGTTCTGCTTTTACTCTTTTTAAAAAAATTATAATTTCTAGCTCTTTCTAGACTGCTGAGGCTCCTTTCCCACCTCCCTACCTATCCTTGTTTAAAACAAAATCATCATGTTTATTGGTCACCTATCATGTGTCAGGTCCTGTCCTGGGCACTGGGGAGTACAGTGAATGAGACAGGGGTGAGGTCCTTACTCTGGGCCCCTTGATCTTGGCTTTCTCTTT